GGAATGGCTATGTCGCTGGACTCCCACGTAGTCAACCGCGGTTCGCGTCCCGGACCCAGTGGCTTGAAACTCACGCTGGGCGCGTGTGCGTGCGTGTCCAAGATCCCAAGAAGAGAATGGAGGAAAATCTCTCCAAAAAATAAAAAAAATACCCAACCTGGGGCCAGCAGGTGGCATGGTGGTGAAGGCGCTGGATTCCACATGGCCAACTGCAATTTGAGTCCCAGACCAGGTGGCTTGGAAATCATGCTGGCATGTGTTCGTACCTGCTCAGAACCCTGAGTGGAGTGGAGGAGAAGGTACTGTGGCATGGCCATACCCCCTGGAGGTGCTTTCTCACTGTGTCTTTCTCTGGCAAGTGCATGTGCCCTATGGCAAAACTCAAAACCCTGAATCAGTACAGTTTACTGAGTGAAGTTACACTTCGATTTAAGGCTTGGTTCTCGGTGACTGCGTGAACCCAGTACCACTAAAGGTGGAGGACAAACTGGACCTGAGAACAACGCTGAGGTGGGGAGCTGGAGGCAGACAGATATTCAAACAGAATGAAAGAGACGAAGCCGCAGACTCCGCGTCCAGTCCCCTAGACATACACACCGCCGCCTTCACTGGATTAGGTGCAGGCCCTACAGACCTTACAAGGCAGCTCCCTTGGATGGCACGACTGGGTCAGACCCACTGCTGACCTCTGTCAATATAGGAGCTAATGACAAGTTTCCAGTTTTGAGTGGTTCCTTTATGTCAGGCCTGGTGACACATGCTTTTTGTTGTGCCATCTTGTTTAATCTTCAAATAACCTTCTAAGCTAAGAGATTCTCATTAACCTATCTTACAGATGAAGAAACTGAGGCAAAGGGAAGTTGCACAACTTGCTGCAGGTCACAGAGCCAGGAAGTAGCAGAGCAGGGGTGCCAGTGGATAATGAGCGACTCCAGAGCTTGAGCCCCTAAGCACTAGCGAGCTGCCTCTTAGTTACCAAAGAGTGTCTGGGGTCAACAGAAAAACACACTTGTACAGAGTGCTGGGGAGAACCTACTGCCACTCGCTCAAGGCAGACATTGCCACTACCCTCCCTCCTGGCGTAACGCTGTGTTCCTGCACCAGATGCTGGGCCTTGCGGTTTCAGACCATTCCGTTCTTCTTAAACTCAGTTCCACAAAGATTGTCATATTCCATTTTTGTCGTTAAATTCAATGTTTCCTAATTTGTAATAAGCACATTCATGAGCTTTGTATGAAGTGATGTCCTACTTTGCCTGGCAATTTCCCCAGTTTAGCCCAGACAGCCCTACGTCCTGAGAAATCCCTCAACTTTTGCAAAGCAAGATGGGTAGTCACTCAGCCTTTGCTCCAGAAAAGTCACGTTGCTTCAGTTACCCTGAAACAGTACTATTTATGAAGTGTATTTATAACGTCCAGTGACAGTGAGGTAGATAAATTGTCAGATCCTGGTGATTAAATGTTCTGTAGTCATTAAAACACATAGTTAGGGACCAACAGGTGGCATAATGATTATGTCACTGGACTCCCATGTAGTTGACAGTGGTTTAGGTCCCGAACAGGTGTGTGTGCATGTGTGCCCAAGGTCCCAAAAGAATGGAGACAAAGGGATTGCAATGAGGCCATCCTCCCTGGTGGGTGAGTTCTCACTTTCTGTCTGTCTCTCTGTCTCTCTCTCTCTGATGAACACACATGCCCATAGCAAAAATTTCTTAAAAAAAAAAAATGTAGTTGGGGGCTAGCAGGAAGTGTGGTGGACTCCCAGGTGGCCAATTGCAGTTCAAGTCCCAGACCCAGTGGCCCGAAAATCACAACAAATTAATTAACAAAACAAAACAAAAATGTACAGTTATAAAGGTAATGTATGAACTTAGAAAAATACTTTCCAAAATGTCATGTAAAAATGAGGTCACTGAAACTATAAATGCAATTTATAAATATTAAGGGACCAGCAGATGGCATAGTGGTTACACTGCTGAACTCCCACACAGCCGACTGTAGTTTGAGTCCCAGACCTGGTGGGTTCAAACTCATGCCGGGCACATGTGCATGTGTGCTCAAGATCCCAGGAGGAGAACAAAGAAGAAGGGATTGTGGCATGGCCATTCCCTGGGGGGTGATCTTTCATTTATCTATCTCTCTGTCTCTGACTCTCCAGCAAGCACATGCACCCTATAGCAAAAGTCTCTCGCCCCCCCAAAATTAAAAAGTCATATATAACAAACATCAAGGACTGAATAGGATTTTAAATATAAAATGTTGGCTTTTTTAAGCTAATAGGAGAAAATTTTGTCATTTCTAATATTTCATGATGAGTCATTGGATAATTACTTTTTTGTGAATGTGATGAGACCCATAGCTACTAGCAAGCAAGCATTAACACAGACAAACAGCTGTCTCAAAGCACAGCAAACTCAGGGCCTGCTTTTTTTAGCAATAAACCAATTCTCCACAGATTGTTCACTTTCTTCCATCCACACCCACCTCAGCCAGCTTGTTGAAGCCCTGTGAGTGGCCCTCCTGCCGCTCCACCTGGCACTTCTTGGCATAGCGACGGTTGCCGTCCATTATGAATGCAATATGTTTGGGCATTGGGCCTACCTGTGGAATAAGAAAACCCGTGATAAACATATCTCATACTCTTCAGGTATAAAGGCAGACACTCCAGCTCAAGCTGAAAGATTTGAGCTATAAAATAAAAGCCCTAGGCCAGCCAAAGGCACAGTGGTGAAGGCAGCTGGGTCCCACATGGCCAACTGGGTGTCCATGGCACAGCGGTGAAGGCAGCTGGGTCCCACATGGCCAACTGGGTGTCCATGGCACAGCGGTGAAAGCAGCTGGGTCCCACATGGCCAACTGGGTGTCCCAGACATCCTAGCTTGATAAGTGTGCCAGATACATGTGAGTATGTGTCCAAAATCTCCACAGGAGGGGGAAATGGAGAAGGGATTGCAGCGTGGTCGTGGTCCGTGGCAGGGGGTCGGGGGTTTTGATTTCTCTCCCCACTCCCTCTCTGTTGTTCTTCAGTGAGTACAAGTACCCTGTGGCAAAAAGCCCTGAAAAAAGAAGGGAATTGAGTATTTTTATGGGTTATGTTCAATAAAAAGGTATTAACCCTTACATTTATTTTTATTTATATGTTCACTGAGTACTTACTGCATGCCGAACACAATGCTGGGCTTTTAATGCAGCATCTTATCGTATAACCCTACAAACTAAATAGTATTGTCTTCATTTTATAGGTGAATAAACTGACTCAGAGAGGTCGAGTGACTTATATGAATCACAAAGCTAAGAAGAGACGAGGTAGGGAAGCAAAGTGGGGTCTGTCTGCTGCCAGTGCTCACCCTTCCACCACCTGGTGGTGACAGTCTCCCACTGGAAGGCAAAGGGAGGGTATGGATGGGCACAGCCGAGTGCACAGGCATGCTCCACAGAAGACACACTCCTCATCTACTGCCGACTGCTTGCTCTACAGGAACTGCGGCCCTACATGCTCCAGATCTTCTCATTTTACGAAGAACCAGACATCAGGATTTTAATAAAAACGTACATATCACAACCCATTTCAAAGCAAACAAGGTATTTTTGAGCCAAACAAAACTTCTCACCTGGATTAGAGCAGTTGTGTTTGTCTACCACACCAAAAATGGACTCCTTGGCCTAATTCCCTCTCCGGAAGGAGCTCTTCACTGTTCTCCAGCACCTGGCCAACATTTTTTACTTTGGCCCCCTCACACAGCCATTACTAAAAAATCAAGTGAAGACATGCGACTTGTTCTTCCTACCATGTGACTGCAGTGGGTGATTTCTTGTGAAGTTGTTAAAGTCACACGTTTAATAAATGACAGAACAGCAGTTAGTGTAATGGCTACATTGCTAGACTCCCATGTAGTGGGCCGCAGTTCGAGTTCCGGACCTGGTGGCTTAAACTCACGCCGGGCATGTGTGTATGCATGCCCAAAATCCTGAGAAGAGAATGGAGGAGAAGGGATTGCAACATGGCCATCCCCCCTGGGGGGTGACTTCTCACTTTCTGTCTCTCTCTGTCTTTCTGGTAAGCACACATGTCCCATAGCAAAAACCTCTCCAAAAAAAAAAAGATGGAACAGGGCTTTCAGACACATTTGAATGCCCCACAAAACGTAAATTCTTTTTTTTAAAAGAATTATTTATTTTGAAGGACCAGCAGTTGGTGTAATAGCTATGTCGCTGGACTCTCATGTAGTTGACTGCAGTTCAAGTCCTGGACCCAGGGGCTTAAACTCACACCAGGCACGTGTGTGTGTGTCCACGATCCCAAGAGGAGAATGGAGGAGAAGGGATTGCGGCGTGGCTATACCTCCTGAGAGGTGATTTTTCACTTTCTGTCTCCCTGTGTCTTTCTGGCGAGCACACATGCCCTACAGCAAAAACTTATCCAAAAAAAAAGAATGATTTATTTTGGGCCAGCAGGTGGCATGGTGTGGATAAAGGCTTTGGATTCCCACATGCCAACCTTGGTTTGAGTCCCAAACCTGGTGGTTTGCTTTCTTGCTTTCCCTCTCTGTTTCTGTCTGGTTAAATTAAAAAATAATAGTAATAAATGGAATTAAATAAACTCGTAATTCTAAAATTCATTTATTTATTTATTTTGGGACCAGCATAATGGATAATGGTTACGTCACTGAACTCCCACATAGTCGACTGCAGTTCAAGTCCTGGACCTAGTGGCTTAAAACTCATACAGGACATGTGTGCGTGTGTGTCTAAGATCATGAATGGAGAAGGGGCTGTAGCATGGCCAGGCCCCTGGAGGATGCTTTCTCATTTTCTGCCTCTCTCTGTCTCTCCAGTGAGCACATGCACCCTATAGCAAAAATCTCTCTTAAAAACATTTATTTATTTTATTTATTATTATTTTTTAAATCTGCTATAGGGTGGTCCAGCAGGTGGCATGGTAGTTAAGGGTTCTGAACTTCCACAGAGCAGACTGCAGTTTGAATCCTGGACCTGGCAACTTGCTTTCTCACCCCCCCCATTCCTCTCTGGTCAAATTAAAACAAATAAATAAATACATACATAAATAAATAAAGTTAAATAAAATAATTCTTTAAAAAATTTTTGTGGGGTCAGGAGGTGGCAGGGTAGGGTGGTTAAGGGTGCTGGACTCCCACATGGCCGACCATGGTTGGAGTCCCGGACCTGGTGGCTTATTTTCTCACTTTCCCTCTCTCTCGTTCTTGCTCTCTCACTCTGCCCCTCGCTGGTCAAATCAAAATAAATAAAGTCAAATAAAAATAATTCTTAAAACAATAAATAAAATTTTAAGACCAGCAGATGACATAATAGTTACATGATTGGACTCCCATACAGTCAACCACGGTTCGAGTCCTGAACCTGGTGGTTTAAACTCACGCTGGGCATGTGTGTGTGCATGCCCAAGATCTGAGAGGAGAATGGAGGAGAAGAGATTGCTGCGTGGCCATCACCCTTGTGAGTGATTTCTCACTGTCTCTCTGTCTGGTGAGGGCACATGCCACATGGCAAAAACTTCTCCAAATAAATAAATAAATAAATAAAATTTTTTAAAACTTTAAGATTTGCTACAGGGCATATGTGCTCACTAGATAGAAAGCAAAAGAGAGCAAGCCACCAGCAAGCTGACTTGAATTGCAATCAGCCATGTGGAAGTGCAGTGTTTTAACCACCATGCCACCTGCCAGACCCCAAAACCTGAACTCTTAACCATTACATTCTACTACGACATAAAAAAATGACTTGCCAGTCCCAGTGGCTTAAAAGACACGTCAAGCTTGTGTGCAGGTGTGACCTCAGTCCCAAAAGGATGGAGAAAAACTATGATAGCCACTGTTCCTGGGAGGGAGGTTCTGAGCTTCCTGGAAATGTCAGGACAATAATCTACAAGAAATGGACATTGTCTTTCAATTTTAAGACGTTTTGCTTTTGTTAAATTCCACTTAACATCACAGATTGCTCAACTTTAGTAACAGTTTTGATACTGGATTTCGTAACTGACCTGAGGGCCACTGGTGCTCACCTTTATGATGTTGGCACAGAAGCGCTCCCAAAGTGACAACTCTCCTTCCTTGATCCATGACATAGTTCTTGCCCCAGAACAAGAACAACCAGCCAAGTGACCCTGGATAGACAAGAGAGAGATTAGGAAGTCCCCGAGGTTTGTAAACGGCTACTCTGACTTCTAGGGATTCGCCCGGACTGCTGAGGGCAACCAGCATTGGAATCCGCACACTGTTCTAAGCTTTTCCCCAGCCTGGTGTGCCGATCGGACCGGCGGGGCAGAAGCCATTTCCTGCTGCTCCGGACTCCGTGGACTTTGCTCCAAGTCCCTTTTCCACAGTACACGCACTTCTCAACACCTAGTCTGCTTCTGCCGCACTATGTTGCCGTGCCTACGTCTTGTTCCTTCCCCGCTTCTTCTTCTTCCATTTATCCTAAGCCGTTTCAATCTGTGCTCCGTTACTAACCCCTGCAGCTGTCGCATCCCTGTCACCTCGTACCTTCCTGGTCTCCTAATTACCTATCCCCTCAGCTGTCCCCCTCGCTCTCCCACAGCTGCTCCCCGACCAGTCACTCCCCTCCCCTCTCCTTCACCCCTTCAGTCCAGCACCCGAACCCTCTGCTCAGCGTCTGCCAACAGCTCTAGCGGGCTGACACTTCCTCAGGACGAGGCGCTGGAGAAATACGTCATCTTCGCGCGCTGGTACACGCCCCCTTCCGGCTCCTAGTGGGCGTGGCCCAAGTCTAAGCCTGCGCAGTAGCGGAAGGAGCCCCGCGAGGCGGGGCCGTGGGAGGGGTCAAGAGGAACGCCAGGCTCACGTGACCCAGCGGGGCGGGCGGCCAGGCTCCATGCCACGTGCAGGGGAAGGTGGGGTCGCGCCCGCCTGGGCAGCAGAGGTCTGGACGCATGTTGGGAGGCCTCTGGGAAACGTGCTGCATGATTAAGACAGCGCCCACCCCAGAAACCGAGAAATTTCATGGCCGAGGGTGGCAGTTTCGGACTGCTATAAACGAAGTAAGGCCTCTTGGACCGTAGCTTGGGCGGCTGCAGAGCTGAACTTCCTTATAGCCCTGGTACAACCTAGCCTCAAGAAAGGGTCTACTGTTATTTAGATTTAAACATTGGGAAGTTCCTAGTCCCAGTCGATTCAGACACACTAAATTATGAGCCTATTTTTGAACTCATTAAGGCACCTAATTTGGGGGGTTTGTGGATTCCCAGAACCTTCCAAATTGAACTCAGAAAAGCACTAAGGCCAGAAACAGCTTTGCTGTAAGAATAACATCTAACATCACAGAAAACCTATCAATTAACTCTGGTAGGAAAAGGAAGGGCACTGGGGCTGGCAGGTGGCATGGTGGTCAAGGTGCTATACTCCCATGTGGCCAACCACGGTTCAGGTTCCGGCCCCGGCCTGGTAGCTTGCTTTCTCACTGTCTCTCTGGTTGAATTAAATAATACTAATAAATAAAATTAAAATCTTTTTAAAAAGTCAGGGGCATTCGCTCTGTAGCACATCTTCATGAAACAATTTTATGAAATATGCAGAAAATTCAGGCACTGACTCACAAAAGAATTTGGTTTAACTCAAGGCAGAAAAATGTCCAGAATCTGATGCAACCGGTCTTGCCTATCAAAACAATTTCCCCTCAATGTTTAGAATTTCACAATTTTTGAAGAACTTCCTTGTATCTCTGCAATGCATCCCATCAAAATAACAAGGCAAGGAAGTTGCCTTGGTGATCCGTAATTCATGGTCTCCCATGATAGAAAGTGTTACTTTTAACCAAGCAACATGATCAAAGCCCTAGAGATGAGTAACCTACCCAGGAACAGTCTTAAGCCTTGCCATCCTTCCTGTTTTGCAATCTGCGGATAGTTTCAGCCTAGCAGGTGACTTAATTTTGCAAGACTGTCTACCTAAGCTTGCTGTTTATGACCTTTCACCATCACCTTTGACTTTTTGGTACATTTAGGAAAGAGATGGATGTACGGTACTCTACCCTGGCTCTGGTCATTTTACCAGGGTTTGAGGATTTAATCCAGAGTTTCCCAGAATTGTATGTTAATACTTTGTTTCCCTCCTCTCAAAGCGTTTTTCTTATTAAATCCTCAGTTCCTTAGGGTTAGATGTTTTAAAATCCCATGTTCATTAGAAGGCTAGCAAACTTTGGTTCAAAGACAATGTGTTTATAGATAATCAGTGGATCTTCTCTGGCCTCAATTTCCCTAGTTCCACACTTCCTTCCTTGGGGTGCTGCAAGGGGTTAATTAAGACTGGTGAAGGTCTTTGAGGAGTGGAGGACAAAGTATTATTAGGATCTCATGCCCCAAGCCATGGCCCCATCCTTTCATCCCAGCCAGTGGCACAGGCAGTCCCATTCTTATGCATGCCAAGCCCCTAATCCCCTCTTGAATGTGACTGCTTCCAAGGAAAGGACAAGAGGCCTTAACTAGAAACAAAAATCCACTGTAATGAGCGGCTAGGAAGACGGGACCTTCAAGATTCATTCCTAACAAAGTGACTGAGCAGAAAAATTTAATGGTTCTTCTGTGACTTCCCAGTGCTGTTCCAGAAGGTGGAAATGATGAGAAAAGCTCTCTTAAACATCTAACAAAGAGACAGTTTCGGTGTCAGTACGTCTTTATTTATTCATTGTATTTTCCAGGGAAAGGAGAAGGGAAGGGAAGAGTCAGCATGTGTGTTACAAAATGATTAGAACACAGGAAGGGAGTCAGTACCCAGTACAGCCAAGTCGACCGACCAACCAGAGCACCCCAGCGATGAGGTCACCAAAGCCCAAAGGGGCTTTGTCTCCTGCAGTTCAGGAATGAGGGGAAGGGACCAGGGGAAGGACAGACAGGTACATGCTTTCCTACCCTCCCTCCCCATAAATTCAAGATTTCACACAAAGCTTTGGTTTCTAGCAGTAAACATGGAGTTACATTCGTCCGTCTCCTATTCAACAATCTTGTGGCCACTTTGACATAAGTTTCTTACACCTGCAAAAAAGTTCCTGAGTGACTTGGAGCTACATTCATATCCTCGGTCTCCTGACCCCACTTTCTACACGGAAGGCCCTGGTTGCTTCTCTCTTCTTTGGGATTACAGATTAAGTAGGTCTGACCCGTCCAGACACAGCAGCGTGTAAATGTCTGGCAGAATCACATCGAGAACTGACTTGACTCAGGAGGTCGGGATCAGGGGATGGTGGGTCCTACCTTCTTTGGGATTCTTGTGCAAGTTATTTCAGACACCCCAAGAACTAAATGTGTATGTGTGTGGCTGTGTAGATTTTCTTTTAGGGTGGGAGGGAATGAAGAAGGTTAACAGGGAGGACTCAGGTTTTTAAGTTAAGACAGAAGATCTGGATTAAAATAGGAAATGGGGAGGGAGAGAGGGAGAGAGGGAAAGGGAGACAGAGAGAGAGAGAGAGAGGGACTCGATGCTGCAATCCTCCAGCCTCCATAGGTTTTTGCCATAGGGCGGGCACCACCATGCCCTAAAACAGGAAACAGAGGAAGGGGAACACAAAAGATAGTTCAAGATAGATCCCCACTTCGAGAAGGGGCCCTCAAACTTCTCTAAAAAGATCCTTTTGCCTGGTGCAGAACCTTCTGTCAAAGATGCTTTGGCTATTTTTCTCTCAATACAAAAAGTAGTTTGTAAACAATAACCCCAAAAGAACATGGAGAAAAGACCAACACGTTATATTTACACAAACTAGGCCACCTAGCAATCACCAACTCAGAGACTCCGCGAAGTCCTACAAATCCCAGACAAATACAACTGGGGGTGGGGACACGAGAACCCGGGGTCAGACACACACCACCCAATGCGCGCTATTGCATCTGTCCCGTTTCAACAGTGAGGCAGGTTTGCGGTGGTCTCACAGCACGTAAACGAACCCCTCTTCTCCGCTGGCGACCACGACACTACCGCAGAAGAGGCGGACACTGGCTCCAGGTGCCCGCAGCGGCCCTCGCTACGGGTCTCCCTGGAAGCCAAGAATTTTGAAAGGTGAAGGGCTTCTGTCCCTGCTTCACATAGCCATCCCTGGACAGCACAGCGTGTGCTGGCCTTAAAACCTATGTCACCAACTCACATTTTTACAGACAGACACCCTGTGTGCACCCCGGGCCTGGCCGAATTCAGCAAGGATGGATGTGCTATGTAAAGCAAGTCCCCGCCCTTAGATGAGACAATCCTCACCTCACCTGGCCCAGCCACTCCTCACGCCTCTCGGCACCACCTTTTCCTGTTTAGACGAACCAATTTCCAATTTCCCAGCAGAAGGAGATCGAGTCACAGCGCAGCCCAGTTGAACCTAGTCTCCGGGGAGACAGGTCGAGGTAGAGGGGGTTTCAAGAGGACACTATGGCAGAAAAGCCGGCTCTAATTGGCAAAAATGAGGTAGTTCAATATCCACGGTGATAAAAGACAACAAAAAGCACTCCTGCTGTGCAGACCTGGAGCTGCTGCTGACTAATCCCTGAGATTGCTCATGTACCTGAGAACACAGTGCAGGAATGAGGGCCTTAGATTAAAATATACAAAAATACAAAACCAGCATATTTATATTAAGAAAAAAAAAGTTTAAATGCACAAGATACGTCGTTCGCACACAGCTAGTGCAGTTGGCATCCTGGAGAAGGTGGGACCCAAGGTGCAGTTAGCCAAGGGAGCAAATAAATAAAATCACATTGGCCGGCACGGGGTGGGGGTGAGTGTAGGGGCAGCAGGGCTGCAGCTGACCCCCCACTTCCTCTGTCTGTCATCACAAAACCCACAGGTTGGGACAGTTCCCAGCTCTGTCCCTAGAGCAGGGTATGAGGAAACGACATGTGAAAAGAACCCTGCCTTACTTCCAAGATTCCCTCCCACAGAATAGAGCGGCTTGTGGGGCTGGGTCCTTTATTCCACTGTCCCTGTGCCGAGATGCTTCATGCTGGCCCGGGAGATGGCATGTCTGTCTTTGGGAGAAAAGTAACTTTCCTATCCAGGCCACTTTCAAAAGCCGAAGACTCTGGGAGCGGAGCCTCGGATCAAGCATGCAGGTTCTAGAGTGATTTCACCCAAAAGCCCTTCCTTGCATTTGGATAGAGCACGGCTGGAGTTCTTAGCCTCACCGCTCCCCCCCTACCCAGAGGGGAGAAGGGGTGATGCTGTGAACCCCCACCTGAGATTCGTGGCAGTGCCAGCCACCCCCAGCCCACCCTGTCCCCACGTCTCCACTCTGCCAATTGGTGCTTGCTCCTCAAAACTTCCTGATAGCAGAAGGAGAGCCCCCACCCCCGGTGACTCAATTCTGGGCCTCAGGGAGCAGGGCTGGGCTGTGGGTCTCTTCTTCTTCCTCCCGAAAGTAGGGGGGCTTTCCCTGTGAGCTGGGGGCCTGCTGGGCCTTCAGAGGACACGAGGCCACCATATGGCTGATGCTCTGGCAGAAGTGGCACTTCTTGGGCTGGGGTGGCAGCTTGCATTCCTTGGCGTGATGGTCTAGGCCTCCACAGTTATAGCACCTGGCACGAAGCAAGACGGCAAAGGTGAGCAGAGGAGGAGGAGCGGTCAGCAGCATTCCCGAGGGCGGGCACTGGGCTCCGGCCAGGCTCGGCACTTACAAAACGAAGACTATGCTACTGGACCACCCCTAAGTCCTTTCCAAATTGAGGTGCCTAGAGGGTCTCTTTGAAGTCACCTAGACTCGAAGCTATCAAGATACCAAGAGTAAAAGCCTTGAGCCCCACCTGGAAATGGCTGTCCGGGGACAGGTGAGACGATTTATAGTACTATTTTTGGGGGGAGGGAGGTCAGAAGGTGTGTGCACTTGCCAGAAAGAGACGGGGTGGGGGCGGGGGTGAGAGAAAGCACTCCCTAACGGGGTGCGGTCGGTCACACAGCAATCCCTTCACCCTTTCCCCATCCCATTGAGATTTGGGGCACGCAGAGTGTTCTCCAAGCTGCCAGTGCCAGGACTCAAACCACAGCCAACCATGTGGAATCCAGCTCCTACAAGGCTGATCCTACAACACTGCTAATAAAGAAATTAAAGAAGCCAGATTACGATATGTGCTCAGAACTAAGGGGCTTGCAGCTCAACAGCAGGATTAAGAAAAACAGTCATTTGGAAACCTAATGAAGCCAAATGTTGATAACTTTAATTCCATTTTTCACAGACTTTCTGAACTCCAGACTAGCATCCCGTCCCCGTTAGTCCTAACACTGCCACGGGAGGTTGGTTTCTCTGTCCTCACTGACAGTGGCCAAGCTCACAGGGCACAACTGCTTGAACCCAGCAGCAGCACCAAGTCCCCAGGGCCCTGCCCACAGAACGGCCTTTGCCCACGCTGGCACCTGGCCAGCCACCCGAATGCCGTGGGGCCACACGCTCCACTGCACTTGGGCAAGCTTGGTAATGAAGGACTGGGAGAGCGCTCCGCAACCCCGCTGCCCGTGACCTGCACACCTGTCTCCTTTGGACCTGCGCTTCTGCATGTTCTTCCCCTTTGGCCGTCTCTCGCTCCCGATGCAGAACACTCCACCAGGTCCGGTGACACGGATAGATTCCAGGCCCTTGGCAGACTTCTTAAAGGTGAATTCTACTGCTTCACCCTCCTTCAGGCTCCGGAAGCCCTCCATGTGCAGCTTACTCTGGAGAAGGGAAATGGGGGCAAATTTTAACATTAAGTTCCATTACATGAAAAACAACCCACCTAATCTCTCACACACACACGCTTTGCCTATCCCTGCTGAGTGGGAAGAACGAGTGTGGAACACTCCCATTTTACCAGCTAGGAAACAGTAACTAAGGAGTCACTATAATTAACAACAAGAATCTAGGGGCCCCCACAGGTGGCGTGGGGGTTAAGGTGCTGGACTCCCACATGGTTACCCACAGTTTGAGTCCTGGACTTCTCAAGAAGGGATTGCAGTGTGGCCATCTTCCCCTGGGAGGTGATTTCTCACTTCCATCTCACTGTCTCTGTCTCTCTGGTGAATGCACGTGCCCATAGCAAATTAAAAAATAATAATTATAATAAATAAAAGTAAATAATTTGAAAGAGGCTTTTGTCTTGGGGTACATGTGCTTCCTGGAGAGAGAGAGAGACAGAGACAGTGAGATGGAAGTGAGAAATCACCTCCCAGGGGAAGATGGCCACACTGCAATCCCTTCTTGAGAAGTCCAGGACTCAAACTGTGGTTAACCATGTGGGAGTCCAGTGACCACACTATCTGCTGGCCCCAAATAAATAATTCTTATAAACAAACGAACAAAAAACTACATTACAGTAACAAAAGCATCATTATAGAAACAGGCACCATAACATTTTCGTTCACTAGTCTAATTTAAATTTCTAAGTAAAACCGAAAGAAAATTTCTTTTTTTTTTTTTTTTGAGAGGTTTTTGCTATAGGGCACGTGTGCTCACCAGAAAGACAGAGAGAGACAGAGAGACAGAAAGCGAGAAATCACTCCCAAGGGGTGATGGCCACACCACAGTCCCTTCTCTTCCATTCCCCTCTCAGAATCTTGGGCATGCACGCACACATGCCCGGTGTGAGTTTAAGCCATTGGGCCCAGGACTTGAACCACACGGTCAACTACATGAGAGTCCAGTGACATAGCCATTATGCCAACTGCTGGTCCCCAGAAGAAAAATTTCTAAATATAAATATTTGTAAGACATCAACAAGTATATGAATAAAATGGCAAAACAGAGAGAACACCACCATATGAAGGTCGGCATGGGGCGTGGTGGTTAGGGGTGCTGGATTCCCACGTGGCTGAGTGCAGTTCGGGTCCTGGACCTAGTGGCTTGTTCTTCCTTTCCTTTTCTTTCTCTGGTCAAATTTGAGAAAAAATAACAAATGGAATTAAATAAGTACATCATTCTTTAAAAAATAATAGAATAAAAGAATTAACACACATGTTTTAACTTCTGAGTTTTTTCTAGAGACAGGGTCTTGCTATGCTGCCCAGGCTGGCCTCCTATCATGACTCTCCTGGTTCAGCTCCAAGTAGTTGAGACTCCAGGCAGGTGCCACAGTGCCCACCTAGGCGTTACGATTTCACACGCTGTTTCACTAGTTTTTATACCATGATTAAGACTAGGGAAGTAGGGGAACTAGCAGTTAGCGTAATGGCTATGTCGCTGGACTCCCATGTAGTTAACCGTGGTTCGTGTCCCGGATCCGGAGGCAGGATTGCGGCGTGACCATCCCCCCTGGGGAGTGATTTCTCGCTTTCTGTCTCTATGTTTCTCTCTGTGTGTCTGGCGAGCGCACGTGCCCTATAGCGAAAATCTCTCATAAAATAAAAAAAGACTAGGGAAGTAGAATACTGGGGGGGGGGGGGGGGGGGGGGAGGAAAAAAAAAAAGCGAAATTAGGCAGTATTTTGAAAAAAATAGAAAAGTGGGGCCAGCAGGTGGAGAATTTAAGGTGCTGGACTCCCATACATGGCCAACTGTGGTTCGAGTCCTGGACCCAGTGTCTTGAAACTCACACCGGGCATGTGTGCCCACAGTCCCAGAGGGGCGGGGATTGATACACCGCCATCTCCCCTGGGGGGTGATTTCTCACTTTCTGTCTGCACATACCCTATAGCAAAAAAGGGTGTGTATTATCTCCTTGCATTAAAGGAGATGAAACAGGACCTGAAAAAAAGAAATGAGAAAACAAAGCATGAGCCTAGATGGCAAGACTTAATGATTTTAACAGAAAGGGGGAAAAAAAATCCAAGAATGCCAAATATTAGGCCTTGCATTAATTCAGAAGTACTGGAAGTGCAGCAATCACAAAGGGAAGAGTAGCAGGGTTAGAGCAGAACTGGCAGGGGGACCCCGGCCCCAAGTTCAGCGTTACCTACAGTGGAGCATTGGCTCCTGACGTGAAGCACCAAGGTCATAGAACTTTAAAAATGCACACCTTGGGGGCTGGCAGGTAGCCCAGTGGTTAAAGTGCTGCACTCCCATGTAGCCACTGCAGTTCAAGTCCTAGAACTGGCAGCTTTTTCTCTCTCTCTATTTTTGGTCAAATTAAAAAATAATAATAATAAATAAAATAATTCTAAAACAAATTAAGTAAAATGCATACCTTGAATCTGACCTCAAGGGGACATCGGACAAACCCAAAGTGAGTGCCACTCTATAAAACAGACCTATATACTTCAAAAACGTCAGAGTCACGGAAAACAAAACCTGAAGACCTGAATAGGTAAATGCAATGGAAGATTCTGGAACAGGGGCAAAATAGGGCAACTGACAAGATTTGCATATGCAATGTAGAGAAATATATCTGTATGAAATTTCCTGATCATGATCATGAGATTATGTGAAAGAAACATCTCTATTCTTATGAAATATGTGCTGAATTATTTAGAGATAAAGGTGCTTAATATTTATAACTTTGGTTAAGAAAAAAAAATAAAATAACTAGGCAGACATAGAGAACAATAAAACCCATGGGGCAAAGTGTTTAAGAATTGGTGAGTCTGGGGAGCCGGCAAGTGGCGTGGTGGTTAAAGGCGTTGGACTCCCACATGACCGACCACGGTTCAAGTCTCAGACCTGGTGGCTTGCTTTCTCACTTCCTCTCTCTCTCTCTGTCTCTGTCTCTCTGATAAAACTGGAAAATAATAATAATAATAAATAAAGTTAAATAATTAAAAAAAAAAAAAAAGAATTGGTGAGTCTGAGACCAGCAGATGGCGGAACGGTTACACTGCTGGACTCCCATGTAGTCCCATGGTTTGGGTCCTGCACCTGGTAGCCTGAAACTCATACTGGGTATGAGCATACGTGCCCTACAGCAAAAACCTCTTAAAAAAGAATTTATGAATCTGCATAAAGATTTTATGGGTGATTTTTTCAAACTATTCTTGCACACTCTGAAATTATATTGAAAATAATGTAACAAAGTTGAAAGACAAAAACAGTTATAACCCAGGCAGACAGATCAGGAAATTCATTATCCCAGGGTCTGCCAGTGGTTTGGTTCTTAAGGCAGCTGGATCCCACACTGCCAAGTGCACAGTTTCAGTCCCAGACTCAATTGAAAACTACGCCAGATGCGTGCGCGTGCCCAAAACCACAGGAGAATGGATTGCCTCTGGGTGGTGATTTCTCACTCCTTTTCTCTCCCTCCCTCTCTCTCTGGTGCACACACACTCCCTATAGCAAAGTTACATAAAACAAGAAAAGAAGAAAAAGAAAGGAAAAACTGGTTACCCATTTGGTTATGAAACCAGGCTCCTACACTTAAAAAAAAATATATATATATATGCAAAATATATATATGCAAAATACGTTTCAAATTAATTTAGTATCTGTTAAGGAAAAATACCATGAAAGTCAAAAGACACAATCAGACTGGTGAAACTAAAGGAAAAAAGCTACTATTTATCAGTAAGAAAAAAGAATACGACAACCTCAATGGGTCATTTGTATGACACATATTTCATCTCGTTGTTGGCTAAAAACAAAAAACCTAAAAACAACTTACTTGTTGATTAGGAGGGAATAGCTGAATATAGCACATCCATAAAAAAGAGTATCATGTGGCCATTAAAAAGAACGGACAATGGGACCAGCAGTTGGCATAATGGCTGTCACTGGACTCCAACGTAGTCACCCGCGGTTCAAGTTGGAGACCCAGTGGCTTAAACTCATGTGCTGGGGGCGTAAAATTCCGAGAGAAGAATGAAGGAGAAGGGACTGCGGTGTGGCCATTCCCCATTCCCCTTGGAGGGTAATTTCTCACTTTCTGTCTGTCTTTTTGGCGAGTGGGCACACCCTATAGCAAAACACCTCTCCAAAAAAAAAAAAGATTCCATTAAAATGCTGCCTGTTTGAGGACCAGCAGATGGAGTAAGGTTACAACGCTGGACTTCCATAAGGCCAACCACAGTTCAAGTCCCAGACTTGGCGGCTTGAAACTCATGCCAGGAGCATGTGCGTGCGTGCCCAAGATCCCAAGAGGAGAATGGAGAAGGGATTGTGGTGTGGCCATCCCCCGGGGGGTGTTTCTGCCTCTGTTTCTGTCTCTCCAGCAGGTGCATGCAACCTATAGCAAACATTTCTGAAAAACAAAGCACTGCAGGTTTGTACCAAAATTTTAAAACACCGACACTAGTAGAAGAGTCAGGAAGGAGCCTGCCAGCCTTCCCCCCTGCTCCCCCCAAAAAGGAAGAAAAAAAGGAGTTCGCTGGCTGGCAACAGGTGTCCTAAGAACTCAGAGTTCCTGATTAAAGCTCACAGCTGACTCGAGGTGTTGCATCACCACGTTAGCAGAGACCGCTGCCTCTCCCAGGCCCTACCGAGAGTGGACTTCGATCGCAGCTTCATCCACACAGCGAAACATCAGGACGAGCATCGAGAAAGCCAGCAAAGACTAGTAACCAGGGAAGCCAGAGAGAGCTGTGCCTACCTAGTGCTGGCTCAGGGAAAATAGGATTAGTGATTTATCCGTTGGTGAGAAAGGGGGTATTTCAGCCTCATAATTAGACGAAACATGCTTTTTTGGCCAGAGGGAATCCACAAATTCCTTGATTGTTTTAAATTTTGGTTTCATTTAGATGGATTGTAAAAGACAACATTTCCGTGGAGGTAAGGCCGACCAGCTACTGGCCCCAAGGCCACACTCGCCGCTGGGC